GTCCTGTCACAGATATGTTATAGTGATAGTGAGTTCAGCACAAAGGAGAGGTCCTGTCACATATATGTATGTTATAGTTGGTGATGCTCAATTCAGCACCAAGGACAGCTAGTGTCACAGATACACAATACTCATCATCATCATCATCATCACAATACTAGTAGTTGATAATACTTAGTTCAGCAACATTGTAGAAGGAATTTAGCAGAAAGACAGCTCATATATAATTTAGCTCAGAGTACTGTCGCTCTTTTTACACACCCAAGTCTTTTACTCAGTCGACATTTCAGTGACCGTCTGTCACCTACCTCAGGGCAATTCTAACTGGTTCACATTGCATTGCAACACGGGTGTTGCAATATTACAATATTTACATATCTACTACACATGTGTGAAGTCAGAATTGCCCTGAGGAAGGTGACAGATGGTCACCAAATGTCGGCTGAATAAAAGACTTGGTTGTGTAAAAAAGAGTCTCTTTACTCAGTGTCTTACCGTACTGATGAAACTATTCACAGATTATTTAGCTCAGTAAGATGAGACAACATCATCACCTGGTATCTCAGCCTTGAGTTCCACCCTGTGCCCTTCCTTGACCTGCGTCTTGGGCGTCTCGGCCGGCTCCTTGGGCTCCTCGACCTTGATGATGATGTCACAGGTCACGATGCCGTCTGAAGTAGTCGCCTCACAGGTGAACACACCTGTACAGCAGGAAGAAACAAAACTGTTACTTGCATAACTAGCATAATATTTACCTTCACATGGTCTAACCTAACAAACTACAGTAACTGCTTCATTTATTCTTACACAAACATATTCATGTATTATGGTGAACAGTTACAACTCTATCTGCCTCCTGCTAAATAATTAAGGGTTAATCTATGTAAGGGTTAAACAGTGTATCATGCTTAAACTATGACATAATGGCGTCACAACCAATATGAAATGGTGGCTTCTGATTGATCAACATCACCTGACTATATGATAATGTGTAATAATATTGGAAGTACGTTTACATAGTAAAGACTCTTTTTGATAAATAGATTTGTACCATTAGTAGCAAATGTGCAGATGGGCAACACCAAATCTGCCTATGTCCTTTTCAATGTTTGGACACTGTATCAACAATTAGCCAAAAGGCCTAGTGGGCATCACTTTACCATAAGTTCTTATCAATAGACGGGTTGGCTATAATATGACCACATCTCACTGTAGACGTGTAAGAAGTACTATAATAATAATTTTCAATACCAGAGACTGTTAGTTACTTACCTGCATGTTCTGGTCCGACCTTAGACAGAGCCAGGATGTGGATGTCTCCTGTTGTCAGGTACTTGGAGAACTTGGTGTCTGTGACCTCCATTCCGTTGTGCAGCCATCGTATTCTGGGGTTTCCTAGAGTAGGTAGGGATGGTTTTCAGAATAGCTTTTGATATTTTCATTGTATGTATTAATACAAAGTGGCAACAACAAATCAAAACAAATTTGAGTACTCACTTACAGAAGATTTTTTTTTAATTCATGAGAGTTTTAAGATATCATTACAAGGCAAAACACTCTTTTTCACTCAGAGTTCTTCCAACTTTGATAGAATACAAACTCAAGGTACATGTGAAATAGAGGAAAGTGCAAACAAAAGAACTTTGTAGAGTAGGTATAGTGCATTAATTACCCAATATCTTTGTGATAAAACAGATTAAGGCTTTCAAATAATGGTTTCTATGTGTAGGAAATGTAAGCAGAAAGGGAGAATTCACAAATCAATAATCTTACATCATTTTAGACACATATTTTTAATATAAATAAATATATATAGATAAATAAATGTGCAGCTAAATTGCTAAGGTTTCCAATTGCACCACACCTGGAATCTCTGCCTTGAGCTCGACCCGTTGTCCCACGGCTACGTTGACCTCAGCAGGCTTGGAGTCCTCCTGCATTGCCCTGGCCACCTCATCATCCAGCTGCAGAAAAATAGTACCACTACCATCCGGCTCCACAACCTGGACAGGCCGGGGCTGCTGTTGTGTTGTTGTTGTTGTCTTTACCATGCCATCTGACTCTACGGTTATTCCTTGTACTGTTGTACCTTCAGAAACTGTCGTTCCCTGTATTGTCGTACCTTCAGAGCCATCGGCACACACACTACCAGACTCTACGGTTATTTCCTGTAGTGTTGTACCTTCAGAAACGGTCGAGCCATCGGCACACACACTACCAGACTCTACGGTTATTCCTTGTAGTGTTGTACCTTCAGAAACGGTCGAGCCATCGGCACACACACTTCCAGACTCTACGGTCATTTCCTGTAGTGTTGTACCTTCAGAAACGGTCGAGCCATCGGCACACACACTACCAGACTCTACGGTTATTCCTTGTACTGTTGTACCTTCAGAAACTGTCGTTCCCTGTATTGTCGTACCTTCAGAGCCATCGGCACACACACTACCAGACTCTACGGTTATTCCTTGTAGTGTTGTACCTTCATCAACGGTTGAGCCACCGCTGGCACACACACTACGAGACTCTACTCCTGTCTTAGTATCGGGTAACCCTTCTCTGCTCTGCATGCTTAAGTCTTGGGGTTCGCTAGGTTCATCGGCAGTAGTAGTAGAAACAATCCCAGGGGCATGCGGTTGTAGGAAGTCACCACTGACCTCAAGACTACGTGTGCCCTCTACATGCTGGTGTGGTGCGGCCAACACTTCAGCAGTGTGTGGAAGCTGTCCGTGGGGTTTCTCTCGGGCAGTGGGCATGCGAACACGGTGGTCTCCTGCTACATGTACGTGGCGTGCAACACCTTCTTCACCCACATGCATTGTTACTGGTCGCACCTCATCATTGTCATCATGCAAGTCTAGAGCAGCAGTCACTGTGTCTCCAAGTTCATGCAACGGAGCTACAGAGTCGTGAGTTAACTCGTGTGGTTCCTGAGGTCTTTCTACGTCTGTTGTTTGTAGTGATGGTGAGGCTTGCAGGTTTGTCCTACTGGATTGTGTTGAAGGGATGGGGTGGAGTGGGATATGGTGATGGTGTTGTTGGTCTTCCGTTGGTGGGGAGGACACGGGGCTAGCTAGGCTTGGTGAGTCAGTAACAGTGAAGCTTTTGTGGTCAACAGTTCTACTGGGACTTATTTGTGAGTCCTGGGGACTTAATCTGTTAACATCTCTTTCATCAAGATCAGCTGTACTGGGCACATTACTGTCAATCCCTTCTTTCTTGCTAACAGCAGTTTCGTGATCTGTACCACCTACCTGCCCTGGTTTCACAGCTTGAAAGGCAGGCTTTTCTGCAACTGTTGTTAATGGTTTATCATCAAGACTTTTGCCTGGATGAGGCAAAGACTCACTTAGTGCGACATTTGCCTCTAGCTGATCAGATATTAGGGCTATCTTTTCTTGCTCACTGGGTCTTTCTACCAGTATGGCTGCCTGCCTTTTGGCCTTTTGTTGAACCAGTATCCCCTCACTGCCTACGGGGGCCAGGATGCCTGTATCTGATCTCAGGCTCTCAGGAAGGTCCAGCCTACCTTCTTCTACAACCTGCATGTGGTCATCAGCTTGTCTAAGACTTGGGTCCTGTTTCCTTAGACTTTGTTCTTGTGGGGACAGTTGTAACTGATCTGTTGTTGGAGATTTGGGCTGAACGCTGTCCCTGTCTTTGAATCTTTGATGCCTTACATCACTACCATTATCTGATTCTTCTGACTCTGAACTGTATCTTTTGATCCACAAGGAAGTGTCTCTTTGTTCTTTTTTTATGTCCTCATCAGCTTTAACTTGACTAGGCTTAGATGCTGGTTTTATTCTTTCTTCTGTCTTTTTATCATTCAGATCTTCTTCTAACTCATCTGAGCTGTAGTCTGTTATTCTCTTTCTTTGCTTAAATTTTGGTGAGTCTTTAGTTTTTGGTCTAGTCACAGCTTCATCATCATCACTAACAGATTCAGTGCCTGTAACTTTCTGGCTGAAGGTTCTTAAGTCATTGCTACTATCATCACTATCCCTGGCTTCAGACTTCTGTTCTTGCAACATCTTTGCAAAGGCAAGCCTTCCTTTTTTGATGTCATCTGAACTGAAATACTCCAAATCAACATCTGGCTTCCTAACCTTCCTAGCCTCCCCAACTGCTGGTACGGTAGGTTTTATAGATTCAGAATCTTTATCCACAACTCTAGGACTGCGAGATTCTTCTGAAAAAGTTTTTCTTTCCCTACCCCTTGTATCTTCAGAAGGTACAAAAGATTTTTGTGTTTCCTTTCCTGTATCAAGTTCCAGCTCACTTGCTGCGTGAGCTAGATCTTCTATGCCTTGTGAGTGGTATAAATGGGAATGGGTCTCTTCAACTGAACTAGTTTCATCACTATCCTCTGACAAATATGCCTCATGTAATGCCTCTTCACTGCTGTAAGGTTCACCTGCCTTTAGGCCAAGTAATCTTGACATTTCTTCCGATTTCAAGACATCGTCTATGATACTGCTTGCCTCTCTTGAAGCAAACCTGTCGGTTAGTTCTTTTTCCTTCTCATCTTGTTCTGTTATTCTACTTTGTGCAGGACTCACCAGTTTTTGCCCATCTGCGTCGTCAGCCCTTCTTTTGCTCTGTATTTTTGCAACGTGTTGAAGTCCCTTTTCCGCGAGGGATGACAGAACGGTTTCTGCCTTTTGCATCAGGCGTTCTCTGCTGTCGAAAATGAGCTCACCGCTTGTCCTCCGCTGCATCGGTACTTTGAAGAGAGCCTCAACCTCGGTGGAACTTTCCAGATCTTCTGAAGCTTCACTGCTGCTGGTGTGAGATCTTTCTCTTCTTGAATCTGCTTCTGTAGCTCTGCCTGGTTGTAACCTTTGTTCTCTTTCAGTTTGTTGCTCCGAGAAAGATGTACTTACTTCCTCAGGTGATGACAACGTGATGGTTCCAGGTTGTCCCGATTCTAGCTGTGGAAGGCCCACCACCTCCAGCTGTTTACCGTCACCTTTTAGCTTGAAAGAAATTTCTTGTCCTTCCAGGCTACCAACAGCTGCCCTGTCCTCTCTTTGCTCTTGTGTTTCAGTCCTACCTTTACCCCGAATCTGGAAGGATGGCTCTCTTTGCTGCTCAAAGCTAACATCAGTGTCAGTTTGTCTCTGCCCCTCCCCTGGAAGAGGCTCCTGTTTACCCTTAAATGTCACTGAAATATCCTTATCCTCAGACTTTGATGTCAGTGGTGTGATGGCAGATGGTTTCTGATGAGATGATGGGACTGATTCTGTGGATGGTGTTACATGATCAGATGGCGTGGTGGGAATATGCTGGTCAGATGCAGTCTGCTCTTCATCAGCAGACACGTACGGACTCATGTCTTCGTCATGCAACTCAGCTTCACCCAGTACTGAAGGAGTACTGACTGTGCTGCTGCTTTTGTCAGCATCAGGTGTTATTGCTTTAAATGTTGCAGCATCAGTCATGCTTTCTCTACCTAAAGGAATGGATCTCTCTCCGGAGAGAGTCTGAGTTGATGGAACTTGCGATTCCTCAGCATCTTCAAATTTGTCCTCTGCTTCCAAGTCTGCTGTAGACTCCTTGGTTAATGCTGACATGCCCTCTGCCTGTTCTTTTGGTTTTGGACTTGCGGCTGTTTGAATGGTGGGTTCTATCTGTGTCTCTTTAGATGGTTCAACCTGTAGGATTCTCTCTCTCATTGTGACATCTTGCTCCTGTTGTGCAGACTCTTTCTTCTGCTGCTCACGGTCGTGAGTGCCTCTTGATGATTCAGTATAGTCAGTCTTCTGTGTTATTCCAGGTTTTGTGAATGGCTTGATCTCTGTATCCTCTTTCTCTGATTTCCTTTGGATTTCTAGATCATAGCCAGGCTTGTGTGCATCTGAAGCTACCCTTGGTGTAGATTCTTCATAGGATGTTTTCTGTGAGATCTTCATACCATCTGTGGAAGTGGGAGAATCTTCATGAGATGTTTCAATTTGTGCAGTAACATCTGTTGGCTTGGATGTCTTTTGGGGATACTCTTCTTCCTTCAGTTTTGTTGACACTTTGAGACCCAAACCTCTTTCTGGTTCTTCCTCTGCGCTTTTTGTTAATTCTTCATAAGTTGATCTCTGTGATATTCTTGTTGGATAAACCTCCTTTTGTGAATCCAACTCTATTTCCAAGTTGTCTGTTGGCCTGGGCAGCTTTTGTGGATACTCTTCTTCTTCAAGTTTTGTTGACACTTTAAGACCCAAACCTCTTTCTGGCTCTTCCTCTGCACTTTTTGTTGATTCTTCATAAGTTGCTCTCTGTGATATTCTTGTGGGATAGACCTCCCTTTGTGAATCCAACTGAATTTCCAGATCATCTGTTGGTTTCGCCAACTGCTGTGGATATTCTTCTTCCTCAAGTTTTGTTGATGTTCTGAGACCCAAACCTCTTCTTTCTGGTTCCTCATCTGAACTCTTTGTTGATTCCTCATATGTTGTTTTTTGTGTTACCCTAGTGGGACACACCTCCTTTTGTGAGTCCAACTCTATTTCCAGGTCATCTTTTGGCTTTGGCAACTTCTGTGGATATTCTTCTTTCTCAAGTTTTGTTGATGTTTTGAAACCCAAACCTCTTTCTGGCTCTTTGTCTGCACTCTTTGTTGATTCTTCGTAAGTTGCTCTCTGTGATATTCTTGTTGGATAAACCTCCCTTTGTGAATCCAACTGTATTTCCAGATCATCTTCTGGCTTGGATGACTTGGTTCTTTCTGGTTCCTCCTCTGAACTCTTTGTCGATTCTTCATATGATGTTCTCGGTGTTATTCTGGTGGGATACACCTCTCTTTGTGAGTCCAGCTGTACTTCCACATTGTCTGTAAGCTTTGGTGACTTGGGTGACTCCTCTTCTAGCTCTTTTGATGGTCTGTGATCTAAACCATTTTCAGACTCACGATCTGCACTCATTGTTGATTCCTCATATGTTGTTCTCGGTGTTACCCTAGTGGGGTAAACCTCCCTTTCCGAGTCAAGCTGTATTTCTAAGTCATCTGCTGAATTGGCTGACTCTTTGTCCTTCAGTGCTTTGGATGGTCTGACATCCAAACCATTTTCAGACTTACGATCTTCACTCTTTGTCAGTTTTTCAAGCGTTGTTCTGTCTGTGATGATGGTTGCCTTGGCAGGTTTGGGGTAGGTCTCCCGTTGAGCAGACATGTGTATTTCCAGGTCGTTTGTGTGCACCATTTGTGGATACTCCTCCTCCTCTAGTTTTGTTGTCATTCGGAGGCCTGAGATTGTTCCAGGCTTGTGATCTGATGACGTTCTGGGGTACACTTCTTTTTCTGAGTCCAATTCTATCTCTAAACCATCTGTAGGCTGTTTTCTCATTTTGTCATCGTCTTTCTCTGGCTTTGGAGGTCTGTCAACATCTTCTACAGTTTTTCTTGGTTTTGGATACTCAAGTTCATTGTCAATGTCTGCTTTCTTTGTGTGTTCCTGTACGGAAGATTTCTGCATCACTTTGAGTCCTGCTGAGGGTCTGGTGTAAACTTCATGCTCAGTGTCAATGTCTACATCCAAGTCTTTAGACGTGCTTCGTCTTAAGCCACTGTCTGGTTTTTTAGACTCTGCTGCATTCCTTGTATCTACGTCTGTGTCGAGATTGCCACTGCCTGCAGTGGAACCTACAACTCTGCCTGTATCATCTACGGAGATGTCTGCGTCTTCATCTGTGTGGAAATCGTCGCTAGTGCCCTCCTGGTCTACTCTGTGCAGTCCTGGCCTCTCTAGTTGTCCACCTTGGGAGAGAGAGGCATGCATATGTGTGTCTTGACATGGCGAGGTGGAGGTTGTCAAGGATGGGGTTAGTAGCTGTTTTGGCTGGGAATGAACGAATGATTGGTCGTCGTCGTCATGACGGGTGACAAGTTCGTCGGGTCTGATTCGTGAAGAAGAGGGTTTACCTCGTTCTGCGGTGAACAAAACCTTCCCAGCATGCAGTTCTGAATCCTCAGGCTCGTTGTCATCGAGGTCGAGCCTGCCTGACGACTCGTCTAAAACTACCACCCTGGCATGCGAAGGCCCCTTCTGTGCTCGGGCCGATTTCGGCTTAGCGGCCGGTTTTGTGGGCTTGGCCACTCCAGCATGCAGTGCTTCATCAGGCACACCCTTCTCAGCAACACCTGTCCCGTGTAACACAGGTGAAGCATCATCACCTGCGACAGATGGAGGCACACGATGGACAGGTGAGACGATGGAAGGCACACGTGTGGTCCTCACCTCCTGGTCTTCCGAGAAGGCGTGGGACTCGGTGACGGTGGCGGCTGTGCTCTCTGAGCTGAGCTCCTCTTCCTCCGCTTCGTCTGGTGGGAGAGGTTTTCTCGCGAACATTCCCTCACGATCTTCCTCTGCAGCCTCAAGCTCATCGCCATCTAGGAAACACAGATGTGTCAGTAATCAATCAATCAATCAATCAGTCATTCAATCAATCGATTGATCAATTGATCGATCAGTCAATCAATCAATCAATCAATCAATCACAATAAATGGATCTTTATTGAGTTGTCGAATCACTAATAATATTATTCATACTATAGTGATGAAAAAAAGAGAATAAATGAGGAACTTAACTGGAATTATATATAAAAATATTATGATACTGCTTACTACTAAATGCTAATATCTTTAAATATAAACAACATTCTACTTGAATGTTTCATCTATCTGAAAACATGTTCTAACAGTTACAAAGTTGTAGAGGATGGACAGTACATAGTGTTATCGGTGCACAACACATGTCACTAAGTGTAAATACAAAATTTCCCTCCACTCACCAGCTATGAGCAGTTCAGCGCTGCACCTGACCGTTCCGTGAGCGTTGGAGGCCACACAGGTGTAGGTTCCGCTGTCGCTAGGCAACGTGTCGTAGATCTCCATATTGAAACTGCCCTTCTCCTCGAAAATCTCGTAACGGTCGCCTGAAAAAAAAAAGAGATTTGGGGTTTTAAACTAATGTTTATAAAGTAACGAAATAATGATGTTTAAAAATAAATGGTTCACTGCTTATACATGTACCCTAAACAATTTTTTTGGACACAACAAAGGTACAGCGACTTTTATAGGTCTTTCTACAACAGTTACTATGATGCATACAAAGAAAAAAGTGGATACAAATGAATCAATCCGCGTACAACTTCTTGAATAAATCAACATGTTGAGTTTGACATATCGCCTATACTACTAATGCTAAGGTCTAAAAGTTCTTTGTATTTACACCTATTAGCACACAGTGAGGATTATCTCCTTCTACAAGGCTATTTATCTATAGGATGGAATGTATAAAAGTCTGGTGAGCAAGCAGAAGAAGTTGAACAGCTTTGAGCATTTATCATACGATCTCTTGTCTATTGTCCTATCTGTTCTGCATCTGTATCTGTCTAGCCGGTATAACTACCCTTTGGCATAACACACCAGGTCTTTACCTTCTGTGAGCACTGTGTCTCCCTTCATCCAAGTCACCCTAGGTTTGGGGTTGCCTGACACCTTACATGTCAGCTGTGCAATGCTGTTCCTCTCACACACCTCATCCTGCAGGGGACGGCTGAACTTAGGGGGGCCTGTTTGACAGGAAGAACATCAGGCATAATTTTTATGACATGCAGCGATTTGTTTGACAAGAACGGCATCATGTAAAAATGTAACAGTCATAATTTAGAACTTTTTGAGAAATACAACATCATGTACATGTAACTGTGTTTTAACATTTACCAAAACATCACAGAAAAGTATACATTTTGATAAGGAGATTATCCAAAATTGGAAATGTAAGCATAGATGAAGATTTCAATAAGAACCACATGACATACACACATGACGTACATTGTGACAGTGACAAACAATGTTGAAAAATTCATTCAGACCACACCCCTTACTTATCAAACAAAACTGAAATCATTTTGATTCACTATTAGAATTTTCTTTATTATCAAAAGAAAGGATTGTGGGATTACTTGGTCCGGCAGACACATCCTCTTCCTCAGAAACTCCTCTCTTCAGGGGGGAACCAAGTTCTGAGAATAAGAAATCATAATAAAAGTGTTATTCTGAAGCATTCATTTGGCATAATCATGAAGAATTTCAAAAGTGCAAAAAGGAATATGGCAGATTTGTGTACCAGTAAACTTGGCACACACATTTCAGCACCAAGGACAGAGTCAAGAAATTTTATTTTCTCTCCTTTTCTTTGGTAAGGATTCTTAAAGTCTGATAGCAATGTATTTTACTCCCTTTTTATAGGAGCATGTAAGGCAACCAACTGGATATGATTTTGGAAACGGTCAGACATTTCAGTAGCATCCACTACCTTTCAGTGACACTGGAGAGTTGTCAGAAAAGCAGCTTCATAAGTACCATCTATTGATTGATTTGCAAATAAGTGAAGATGATTTTTAAAGATAAAGTCCAAAGGGAAACAAAAGTTACACAAGACAAGACAAGGATAATGCAATTTAGCCAAGATAATGGTACAAAGGATCAAAGAAACAAACAAACAAACAAACAAACAAACCTTTAACAGTGAGTTTTGCAGATTTAGACACGTCCCCAGCTGGGTTCCTTGCTGTACAGGTATAGACTCCCGAGTCTTCAGGAAAAGCTCCGTCTAACGTAAGTTCAGCCGTTTCCCCGTCGTAAGACATCTTGAAGTACTTGGAAGGTTTGATGTTTTTGCCGTCCTTGTACCAGGAGATCTGAGGGTCCGGAGCTCCCATCACTGTACAGGAGAACACTACCTCCTCATCCTCTTTGCAAACCTGGGGTTAGATACCAAATAGTTTCATCAGGTTGGTAAATTATAGGATACAGGTCCTGGAGTTTTCTTTTACACAACCAAGATAGATTACCTTGCTGACGTTTAGGCAGAAGCTCTGAGGAAAGTGTCTGATAGACACCGAAACGTCAGCAAGGTAAACTATCTTGGTGGTGTAAAAGAAAACTTCTGTATCCTGGTGTTAGATAGTTGACAAGGTTCAGCAAACTTAAGGCTACATCATGTACTATGTTCTCAGAGTTATCAACTTTAAGGAAAGTGCATTGGCCATTGTCAGCTTTAGATGTGTAAAACAGCTAGCTTATATTACATACTTAACGTTTTCTTTTGCACGGAAGAAAAGAAGACTCCTTACTACTTTTTTTAAAAAGTAGCTGGACTAGTATTGCTTTTGCAAAAGTCTTACAAACTCTTTAAGAAATTGCATTGAAGAAAAGAAGACTCCTTACTATGTCTTTCAGCTTAATAAGGCTTAGAATACACCATTCCAGGTTAAACTCCATGTTTCCCTTTTCTTAGAGTAACTGGACATGACTAATTGTTTTTATATTAAGTCCAACTGACTTGGAAATCTCAAGAGGTTTATTGAGGTTTACTGAAGAAAAACTCTCCTTTAGCTGCCCACCCGAGGGTAACAGCTACATAATTATTTCAAAGAAAACAAATGTGTAACATCTGAAGACAACAAAAGACACTGCATAGAAAAAAAAAGAAGATTCCTTACTATGTCTTTCAGCTCAGACTTGAACTCAGGAGGAGAGGCCTCATCGATGCTGTAAAACATGTCAGTATCTTCTGTGGAACCACTGTCAATGGAACTGGAGCAAAGCATTAGGGGTTAGTTCTACAGGAGGGAGGGAGACAGGCAGTCAGGCAAGGCACTACACTCTTAGATATGCATGTCTAGTAGTAGAAGTAGGTTACACTATATTATCAAGAGATATAAGTCTCTTAACAACTATGTACTATGTGTTACAGTTTTCTTTATGTTTAGATTGATATGAATAAGTATTAATGAATTGGTTTCTGGTATGAGTTTGTTTCTGTTCTTGTAAAACCTGTGCCATGCAAGTCTGTGTATTGTACTTGTTTTTTTGAAAATCTAATAAAAATAACATGGAAAAAAAAAGAGATATAAGTCTATTATTATCTGTAAACGAGTAGCTTAGGTTAGGCTGCCATTTGCTATTTTGTAGGAACAATTGAAGTACATTTTTCTGATACATGTAACAAGGATGAAGAATGCATTGTTTAAAGCACAAATTTATCATCCTGAGGATATTGCGATGTATTCAGATCTGTTTGAAATGAAATTTATTGGTAATATGGCCTACTTCTTTCCATAATTTTCAACCAAGTAATAATACTTGAATGCAGGTTATTTTGTTGTGTATATCTCCAATGGAGATCAAAATTTTGTGGTGATTTGTTACAGAAGTAAATGATTTTAAAACCTTAAAAAGCTTTCCATAATTCATACACTGCACACCTCGTAACTTGTATTAATATTTTCTAATAAATGCTTTTAATACGGATAAAGATGGAGACTACAACAGATATTGTGATTTTAAAACAAAACTTGCCAGTCCTGAGTATATTGAGATGTATAGAGGTATGTTTTATGGATGCATTGTCTATTTTTCTTCATACTTTCCATCAAGTAATAGTAAATATCATAAGTTGATTTGCTTATGTTTCGTGTGAGGTGTGACAATTTCGGCAAAGACTGCAAAATATGAAAGACTTTAAAATCGTAAAAAGAGATTTCTGTAAGATATTTTTAGCATTACCAACTAGGTACTATGTATGTTAGCATCACCAACTATGTATTGTGTATTTTACCATACGATGTATCCGCTACATCTGTTGCGCAATAAGGTTCTTCTTCTTCTAAAGTTCTTCTTGTAATTTGTACACTGCAAACTTGGTAAGTTTTATTGCTGCTAAATGTTTTAATACAGATACAGGCTAAGCAGTGTAACAGTTTTCTAAGGAAGGTTACTTTCATCAGGGAGAAGATGCATCTCTGCTTCATGCTCGGGGCTGGGTTATAGTAGGGGGGTACCGCGGTGGGGGGGGTCAGGCAGGGATAGGGGGTAGGGATTGGGAGGGGGTAGAACAGAGTTAAGAAAGGGGGAGGTAGGAGAGGGCTATAGTCAGATTCAGACTCGTCTAGATCTATGTGGAGTTTCTGTTTCACTTATAACAGCTGAGTTTGTACAGTATAGTCTGGGCCCTGGCCATGGGTGGGGTGTTTTGATCTGGGACATGTTCTTGATGTTTTTTTCATGGAATTTAGGGAAAATTTTTATCTCAAACCAACTTCTAGATACCTAAAGATGCGAGGCACTTCTTTGATTTGTTGAAAAGTACCTGGGTCCAGAATTTTAACTGGCGGAACATAATCATTTTACAATGAAGCAGTGAAACATAACTCCATTGTTGTTCATCATGCTATTGCTACAGTATGTCATCCACTTGCTACAGAGTACATAGGAAAGGTCCATTGAAACAAGTGGTTTCTGAATCGTAATGTAACAAAATTTGCAACATTTCAAACATACAAACACATTACATGTACATACAGTGTATCACAGACTCAGGCAAATTCAAATAAGAATTAATAAAATAATGCTCCCTAGACTAATCATAGAGAGAAAGACCAACGTACCACTTTGAAACAATTTCTTGTATTTGTTCAAAAATATTGTCAGTTCTTATAGCTGTATTTTCAATATCACAATAATCACTGATCTTAAGGCCACACCAATTTAATTTCTTGGTTAACGGATTTTTCTAGAAAAATAATGGAGCGGGCGGGCGAAAAAAAAATAAAAATAAAAACAGGTCTAGGCATCCTATTATGGCCCAAAATGGTACAATAGGAGCCATGAAGTCAACACACCAGGCTGGTTCAAAATTTAAACAATGAATTTTGAACTTTTATTGATACCACTGCATTGAAATATGGAATGACTGTAACAAGTAATAAGAAAAGGACTGTTTTCAACTGTTTGGGGCAAAATATGAGCATTTTGCAGTTGATTCTGAATTTTTATTTTTATTTGCAAATCAGAAAAAAATGAAGCGGCAAATCCGTTAACCAAGAAATTAAATTGGTGTGGCCTAACGGACTAATAAAAGAAACTAACTATTAGCAAGGAAACTTTCACAAAGACTCAATATGTGGGGAGCCTCTAAAATGGCAACTTTTCTTGGAATGTTCAAATAAAATACCAAATCAATCTCTACTACTGGATAATTTACAGAGATAAATTCTGAATGTTTCTAGTGACTTCTTCAGCATCACTAAATGAACTGAGAGCACAAGTCAACACTAATCACATGTGAAGGAACTAAAAAAAAAACACTTCTTGGAATAGTCCATGTGGAAGAGGGGTGTTTTTCCTACTAACCTCAGCAGAGATTGCAGCTGGTCCTGTGTGATCTCCTTGTGCTCTCCCTCCTGTACGGTGAGAGTGAACTCCTCTGTGACTCTGCCCTCAGCATTCTCCAGCACACAGGCGTAGGAGCCGCCATCGGTGACCAGAACTGTTGGGATTTCCAGCGTGGATGAGAACTCGTCGCTCGAGATCCTGTACCGCTTACCTTGCTGGAGCGTTCGGCCATCCTTAGCCCAAGAAACTTGTGCAGAAAAAAACATTTTGACATTAAAATCAAGGACTGAACAGTTTCAGTTTATTGAGATACCCTTCAGCCCCCAAAGGGGCTAATCTTCCAGGGCTTTTTCAACAAATATACACAAGTACAGAGACAAAACAGATATTTGCAATTACATGTATCATACACTGTTACATGTGTAGCAGTAACAACAACTCACAACTAAAAACTTCAGCATGAGAAGTTTTCAGAGGGCATCTGCAATCTTTCTTTAGCTATTCACACAGCACTTTATCTTTAACTTAGTTTGTCCTCAAAGTTGTGTAGTGCTTAAACTATTGCTTGGAGTTCAATATATTCCTTCTGGTATGCTTTCATGTACATTATATACATGTATCTTTCTGAATTCTTACTTAAAGTCAGTTCCTCATAACAAAGGCGTAGCTCTTCAATCTGTGTTTCAATATCTAAGGAGGAAAGAAGAGCTCTTGACGCTGTCCTTGGTGCTGAAACCCGTGCTTGAGCCTTCAGTGGCGTAACACACCAGCTTTGCAGGCATGTGGCACGGTGACAGCTAGCTATATCGCACCAAACAACTTGTTGTACTCAATGTATGCACATGTAATTGCATTTGATTGTATAAAGCTTTCTAGTGTAACACAGGAAAGAAAGGGCTGACTTTCCTGAATCAGATATATTTTGATGCCAAGTAACAAATGAGATTCCATTCATTTCATTGTATAATTAGCCCAGAAGTGAACAAAGAATCTCCTTTTCAATCCCCTCAACCACCCAGAAATAATAGAGAAGTCCGATTAACCTTGATTGATCCCCGAATTTGCAGTATTCAGACCCTTTTTTGGTAGTGTCAGAAAACACCTGTACCTTTAGGAGCAGGCTCTCCATCCACCTCACAGGAGAACTTGGCACTCTTGCCCTCCTCCACAGTCTGGGAGGCTGGCGGCTCGAGGAACTCCGGAGGGAAGGGCTTCTCCTCGACGGTCAGCCCAGCGCTGCACTTCTGCTCTCCGTGCTTGTTACGGATGGTGCACACATACGTGCCCTGGGAACAGATAGGGGTTAATGCATTAGACTAGACAGTCAGTCTATTGAACAACTAAGAACTCTAAGGCTTCTCCTGCACAGTCAGCCCAGCGCTGCACTTCTGCTCACCGTGCTTGTTACGGATGGTGCACACATATGTACCCTGGGAACATAAGTGTGTTAATGCATTAGACTAGACAGTCAGTCTACTGAACAGCTGAGAACTCTAAGGCTTCTCCTGCACAGTCAGCCCAGCGCTGCACTTCTGCTCTCCGTGCTTGTTACGGATGGTGCACACATATGTACCCTGGGAACATAAGTGTGTTAATGCATTAGACTAGACAGTCAGTCTACTGAACAACTAAGAACTCTAAGGCTTCTCCTGCACAGTCAGCCCAGCGCTGCACTTCTGCTCACCATGCTTGTTACGGATGGTGCACACATATGTGCCCTGGGAACAGATAGGGGTTAATGCATTAGACTAGCCAGTCAACTGAACAACTAAGAACTCTAAGGCATCTCCTGCACAGTCAGCCCAGCGCTGCACTTCTGCTCACCATGCTTGTTACGGATGGTGCACACATATGTGCCCTGGGAACAGATAGGGGTGTTAACGCATTAGACTAGACAGTCAGTCTATTGAACAACTAAGAACTCTAAGGCTTCTCCTGCACAGTCAGCGTGGCGCTGCACTTCTGCTCACCATGCTTGTTACGGATGGTACACACATATGTGCCCTGGGAAAAATCTGGGGGATAATTCATTACCTATACCTTTACCTAGTCCCATCCTCATGTCTGAGGGTCGGGGACTATGGTGGCATCCAGTATCAGCCTCCTCCACTCCCTCTTGTGAGAGCACTCTGCCAGTGGCATGCCCATCCAGTCCATCTAATTCATTAGACTAAGCCAAATCGGTTCCTTGTCTCAGAAACATGTACAGTCAAGTATATGTGTCTCAGAACCATAATAAAGATGATTTTAACTCTCTTTGTTATTGCCTGTTTCTTTACTTCTGTTCTGTAAGAATATGTATGCCACAATACCAATGATGACAAAGTTTGAATGCAGCACCGTGTTGCATGGCAGGTAGCAAAACTTTACACAAGAGCACAGAACAGGCAAAAGCTATGAACAGTGTATAGAATAATTTCACCATATGGCAGCATTTTATTTGCAAGAATATTTGAAATCATCATACATTATTTGCACACATCCAAAATGATACAGTGCACGACATAACAGAATACTATATGACAGAGGAGACAAACTAAACAGTATATTTACAAAGTACCTTGTTGTCAAGGCTGACATTAGAGATCTCCAGGGTAGAGCTGTAGTCTACAGTAGTGATGGAGAACTGGCCGCCCTCATGGATGGGCCGGCTGTCCTTGGACCAGATCACTGCACAACATGGGCAAGAGTAACAGTTATTTTTAACCAAAGCACATTGAAATAGCTATTTGACCACCAATACTTAATTGGATACAGCATTAGGCATCAGAGAGAAAGATATTGAAGAAATTGTTACCGTCTTTGTCCAAGTCAAAAAGAAAATACTTTGAAAAAAATTATGCCTGTTTCAATGGAAAAACTACATAAAGAACCACTAAAAAGTGGTCGAGCAGTAGAGGTGGTCACTTGTACAGGTTTGACTGTATTTCAATATAAAGAGGTCTAATTTAGTAGAATGGTTTATTTCAATTTGAAAACTCAAGACATACACACTGACGACAGACTCGCAGGCAACCACACTGGCTGCCTGAATTGCTCTGAGGTCACACAAAATATCATTAAAATATGGGTATTATTGTTAAAACATTATTGCATATTATTACATAGTCAATTTGTTAAAATTTATAAATCATAGAATATTCCTCTGCTTTAGTAAATAATTTATTCACTTCCATTGCCGCATTCTACACAATGTCCGAACCACACTCACCTTGTGGTTCAGGGTCCCCATCCACCTCACAGCTGAACTCCACTGTGTCTCCCTCCATAACTGTCTGTTCTTTGGGCTTCTTCAGGAACTCTGGAGGAACCTTCACTTCCACAACATCTATCTGTAGTAGCAGGGAAAGAGGAAAGCAGAAAAGGACTATAATTATACCTTGTAGGCCTGACAACACTATAATTGTGCCACAGAAGTTTTGTAGGCCTTAATTACAACACTAAAAGTATGACGAAAAGTACTTGTAGGACTGACACTATCTTTTAGAATTGTGATTCCTAATAGTATGTAGATTATAGAACTGTGGCTTCTGTTTTAATACAAAATTAATATTGTACTGAAACCAAGATATGCATGCAGCATACAGCAAGTATGTGTCAGGCTGCAATAAATTTGGTGCTTCCTTAGCCTATAGAGTTAAGAGGATCAGCCCACTTTCAACCTGAGAAAAAAAAAGAATGAAACCTAAAATACCCCATCACAACATATGTTGAAATGACATTTCTGCTAAATACATGCATAAGGAAGTCAAAAACAAAGAAACAGACCTTAGCTGACTGAAACATACATTGTAGCTAAATCTGCCGAATAGGAATGAATGGTCTTTCAAAATAGGAACGAATGATTATACACACAAAACATTAGCCTTATGATGAAATCTTAAAAAGTTGTAGCACCCCACCTTGAATGACTTGGAGACAGACCCTCGGATGTTGCTTGCCTCAATGGTGTACTCAGCAGAGTCCTTGAAGTCGGCACACGGGATCTCGAGTGTGTACTTGTTACCTGAAGACGTGATACTATAACTGTCTCCTCCCTCAAGAACCTTGGTGGTCTTCTTGTCCTTCTTGGTCCATTTCACTGGTAGAAAAATAAAAGGTGACAATGAAGATCACAACTGATGATTTTCTGCCCTTAGTAACACCCATTTCTGTACATAATATTACCTGTTGTAGGGTTGTGTTAACAAACCAATGTTCTACTACAAATTAATATCCTTCCACTGAATACTTGTTTCGATCTTTTTGTCCTTTAAAGTTTATATTAGAGGGCAAGAAGATATCTTCAGCATAGCATTCTCATGTCATCTGACATTTAAGACTATTCACATAAAGAGTTTCTGTACTTGACCAAATCATCATAATTTTTGTAAAACGACCTGAGAGAGTTAGTTGCAAAAGATGACCTAGACTAGAATGATTGTTGGATTTTAGCTGATACATTGACAAATTAAAATCCTATGAGCTGTCTCAAATACAAGTAGTTGATCCTTTGTGTTGGAAGGTTTAACTCTAAATTACCTGATGGTTTGGGTTCTCCCTTGATCTCGACCGTGACCTTGATGGGTTTGCCGACGTCAGCTGTGATGTCCTGCGGGGCCTTGGGGAAGGTCGGAGGTGAGAACTTCTCCCTCACCGTCAGCTTAAACTCACTGGTCTGCTGCTCATTCGCACCTCGGGCTACAACCTACATGTGTACATAAACAGGACAGAAACACACTGTCAGGAAAAGACAAGGTAGAAGAGATGGCACAGTCTAAAGGTGGCAAGGTTTTCTTTTGGTTAGGGTTGTTAACTCAGAATTTGAAGGTTCCGAGTTCAAATCCCTGCCTCTCCTATTGGATCAGTTTTCCTCATTCTCAGAGAGTCATTGACAAGCTTTTCTTATACATGATGTTTTTGACTCAGGGTGAAGTGACCTTGCATTGTCAATAGATAGCTTTAAACAATGTCTAGAGCTAGAAGTTCAAGGGTTAGGTGTAACAAGTCGATCGGTGTAATATAGCCAGCTGCCGCCGCGCCGCGTGCCGGCGAAGCTGGTGTGTTACGCCGAAAGGCGGTTATACCGGCTATACAGATACAGATACAGATACAGAAGTGATGCTGTTCCAAGCCTTAGCCATATAACCCATAATGTTAGCCGTCAAGGCAGCTAAAATCAGTAGAAGGTAGACTAAATGCTCTGTGCAAAAGAGAAGTGGATCTGGAGAAAAGAAACTCTGCAACAGACCTGAATCAGCTTACAAATGTGCCCAATAACATCTGACAAAGCCTGTCATTCTCATTGCTCAGGCATAGCTGGAACTGTAGGGCTGATATCAATTAGGATTTTACCATGGTCAATATTGACTGAAGGAAGCCATATAACTTAAATTGGCCCTTGCATCATCATCATGTTCATGATACAAACCCACCTTGTAGTTTCCCTTGTCTGTAATAAGAGCAGGTTTGATGTCGAGTGAGTAGACGGTTCCCTCAGTGGAGACGGTGTGGCGGGCGTCCTGTTTCACCTGGGTGTTGTCTTTGTACCAGTTTACTGGGGAAAAGCAGCAATAATACAGATTCTCAAATAGAATATTAAGTAAATGTGAAAATATAGTCTGAAGGGAAGTCTGTGCCTTGGCTCACACATGATTTGCAACTTTATTGCATGACACTTGTACACAGTACAATGTACCGTAGCAACTATTGAACATTATGCAAAATAAAGGTATCAAATAAAACTTAACACTGCAATTACTAATTTAAAAACAATGCGAGCTAGTATAAGTCTTTAATATAATGTTACAATCATTAGTTTTGTACAGGAAAGTCTGTGCCTTGGTTCATTTGCATTTTTTTTGTAACAAAGCACTGTCTTTTATGCATTTACATATTTCTGCATCTAAAGATAGATTCAAATTTGTCTATCCGTAGCATCAAGTCTCTTAAAAACTTTTGTGCTTTATTTGCAAAATGTGAATAGCTTGTTACATAAAACATCATATCTAGAGCATTCAACAACAAAGTAACATTCCTGGTTTATTTTGTTTGGATGAAATGGGCAAAAACATGTACAATGTACATACCCATAGGAGCAGGCTTCCCTGTGATCTCACACACAAACTCTGCAGCTTCTCCCTCATCTATAGTCAGGGACTCTGGAGTCTTCACAAACTCTGGGGGAACTGGGACCTGGGAATTAGGTTCACAGAACAAGACAGTTGTCAATACAACCTATATGGGAGCAAATATTTAGCGTCATGATTCACCTCGGTTAAGGACGATAAAATTATCTTGATTACATGTACTTACAATACAGCTGTTGATACGTTGTAATGATTGAATCATGTCAAGGTATCAGTGGCAAGTAACTTTTCTTCCAGAGTCAACAAAAATTGTATCATTGCAAACTAAGATACACACTTTTCTCTCTTTCTGATGTGCATGGGCATTACGATGAAGGCATGCTGTTTAGATGTTTTCTTTAGAGTCTGTAGTAGACTCAAACTGAATGCAGTCTAAAATGAAATACTGAAAATGAAACTCTGATCATAGTTTTGCAATGGGCTACATGTATAGCAATCTCTCCCTGTCTGCCTTTGAAATTGCAACAGAAACAGCAAGAAAACTTGCTTTACTACAAAGTACATATTAATTATACGTACCACTTACACATATATTAAGGCACAAAAAAGGAAACCAAAACCACCATGCGTGACAAGAAAGATTAAGAACTAAAGGAGATAGAAAACTGTCTGACCTCCCTGATGGAGAGGGTGAACTCATATTTCTTCTGCCCGCGGACGTTCTTGGCGATGATGCTCCACTTTCCGCTGTCGGCCATCTCTGTGGGGAGGAGACTCAGGAAGGCCTTGTTCTCCTCAGTTCTGATCCTGATCCGCTCGTCCTGGGACAGCTGTTTACCCTCCTTGTGCCACGTGACTGGGAAATGTGTTATAGTAGCATGTATATGTCATCCAGTTTATTTCAGAAGTATGTCAGTGAAGGTTAGACATCCAGATAATAAGATACGCCAAAAAAACAGTTACTCAGGCAACTGGATATGGTTTTGGAAATGGTCAGATTTTTCAGGTAGCATCCACTACCTTTTGTCATTGACACTAAGAGAGAGGAGAAATGCAGGTTTATAAGCACAAATTATTGATTGATATGCAAATGAGTGAAGACTTTACCTGCATTTCTCCTCTGGTCTCTCAGTCACTGACAAAGGGTAGTGGATGCTACCTGAAACGTCTGACCATTTCCAAAATCGTATCCAGTTGCTTTTACTGCTTTTTTGGGGTAAGAAATGCTTATTTAAAACATACATTTGAAGAGACTGTAAGTATTCTAGAATGTACATACCAACAGGCAGCGGCTCTCCTCCCAGCTCACACTCGAAGCTGTGGTTGGTTCCCTCGTCAATGATACCAGACCGAGGTTTGGTCAGGAACTCAGGTGGGCACGGCTTCTTGTTCACCTGTAGGCAGGTGAGAACACAGGTAAAGAGGAGTTATGGAACAAGATTATGGTGTATAGAGCTATAATAGTTCCTTTGACAAGTTCACTGAAAAATTAATTTCCTCAAACTGCTATAGACATTATACCTGTCCTTGGTGCTGATTGTTGGGTTATCTTTGGCTGTTAGTTTACGAAGCCCTGGTCCTCATTAGTTGTTAGTTTATTGATCCCTTGTTATGATTGGCTTTTAGTATACTGCTATAGACATTATTTCTGTCCTTGGTGCTGATTTTTTAGTTATCTTTGGCTGTTAGTTGACTGATCAATGGCCCTGAATGGTTGTTAGTAAAAAATGAACACCAAATGGTTTATTTACATCATCATTACAGATCGTACAGTGACAGCCTTTAACGGCTGAAGAAAAATACGATTTACAATTAAAAGACTATATAAAGAATGTATACATAAACAAAATATTTTGGACCATACAGTGTGCTTGTCTTACTGCTCATTTATGACACTAGCCCTTTGTTGTTTAGTAGGTCTACTAGGTAGAGCAATGTGCTCTTGCTCTTCCATAAGAATGTAAAAAGTCATTCTGCAAAGCTTAATAAAAACTCACATTGAAGTTGAAGTTGTAGGTTTCCTACAGGTGCAGTACATTCTGCCAGCACGAGGCACTAATTGGCTGTTAGTAAAACTTGTTTGTCAGGTAACTGAAACAAGCCTAGTGTACTAAGTCATACGGTAAAGCCTAATATTGATTGAACTGTACTAGAAAGCTTAATGAAAACTCACATTGAAGTTGAAGTCGCAGGTCTCCTCTCCTTCAGAGTTGATGACCTTACATGTGTACTGCCCTGCATCGCTGACTGCGGCTGTAGGGATGACCAGCGAGTGACGGTCTCCATCATCGATGATCTGATGCTTCCTGGTGTGGACTATCTCTTCTTCATCCTTCAGCCACATCACTGGGAGAATATAATTGTATAGTCTGATGTTAGCAACTTGTACAGTTATTGAAAAACAGAATATTTTCCTCATCCACTTAGTGAAAACTTAATACACCTAAAAATACTGCATATGACAAGTCTTTGAACACAAATGCACTCCTAGCATAAGTGCCTGTCCCCATCATCCATGATCTGATGCTTCCTGGTGTGGACTATCTCTTCTTCATCCTTCAGCCACATCACTGGAAATAATAGTTGTTGTTAGGCACAAGAATTCAATCCTCATTCAGTTTGTAAAAGATGCCAAATGGAGCTTTTGTCAAAGTAAAAATGCAAACTGATTATACAGTTACTGTAACTATTATGGCTTTGCCCCTAGTGAATCACTTAGATTTTTTCCCTTAAAACTGCTGTTTTCTGGCCTTTAGAACACAAGAGAAATCTGTCAATCTGGCAACACATTATGTTCACCCCTCCATCCATCCATCCATCCATCCATCCATCCATCCATCCATCCATCCATCCATCCATCCATTCAATCCTTCCATCCATCGTTCCCACCTTTAGGCTGGGGTTCTCCGTCCACCTGCACGTCAAACACTGCCTCCTGCCCCTCCTCCACTGTAGTAGACTTGGGTTTGATCACAAACTCCGGTGGAAAGTGTTCCCCTTTTCATTCCTTCCTCATTCCTTCATTCCTTCCATTGTTCCCACCTTTAGGCTGTGGCTCCCCGTCCACCTGCACATCAAACACTGCCTCCTGCCCCTCCTCCACTGTGGTAGACTTGGGTTTGATCACAAA